CTGGAGATAAGTCTGTTAATTAATTTCAATATTTTAATAATATTCTCATTTATTTATATACTCTTCTCTGCCCTTCCATGACCACCGAGGGTATTTTGAGTGGCGGCATCTTGAAGAAAAGAAAATAAATTGTTGTTTTTCTTGCTTCAATGTACTTTTGCATTTCTTTGCATTCATTTGCGCTTTTCCAGCTAGCTGGGGGCCAATCAGCCGACGCTTTCCTTGCGCAATTCGCATTTAGCAGCGCTTCGCTCTGCACTAATTGCCAGCCAATAGATTTTTCGGAATGCGTTTCCTAATGAAAACTAAACAATTTCCACGCTCACATGCATTTCAATCAGTCGGCAAATACAAACAATGCAATTGAATCGATTTGGCACCACTTTTCCTCATCGTCACGTCTAAAGGCGAAAGAGACAGTGATACACTGTGTCTGTTTTGTGTGTGTGTGGGAACGAGAGAGAGAGAGATTGATTCGAGTTGAATTGGTTCTAGGCAGAGCTATAGCTATAAGCCGCTTAGGCAGCGACCTTTACGCAATCGCCTCAGCAGGCGGCGACGATTTACCTCGATTGGGTTTCCCAATTGCAAAGGCGATTAATTTCGGGTAATTAAAATTTAATGAAAATCATTCAATTGTGCAAATTAATGAAAATGTCTGCACAGTTTAAGCCAAAACCATAAAGTAGCCAACACGGGCTACGGGTTAGCACAGTTTTAGCCACAGTAGGCGTGCCGGTTGCCTAATGCCCCTTAATCACTCGCTCTAAGCTCAATTGAAACTCAAAGGGCGTACGCAAATCCTATCAATGACAAACACACACACACACACAAATACATTGTTATATGTATATACACAAGAATACACACTTATCTAGTTGAATCAGTGATCATAATTCGTTGGATATTCTGTGGACAGCTGCATTGGTGATTCTTGACCTGACTGGAAGTCGTATGGTTTAGCATTAGAGTAGGTTCCCATAGAGTAGACTATAGACTGTAGACTATAGAAGATATAGTAGACTCTTCTAGAGTAGAGTCTGCTACAGTAGTAGACTCTTCTAGAGTAGAGTCTGCTACAGTAGTAGACTCTTCTAGAGTAGAGTCTGCTACAGTAGTAGACTCTTCTAGAGTAGAGTCTGCTACAGTAGTAGACTCTTCTAGAGTAGAGTCTGCTACAGTAGTAGACTCTTCTAGAGCAGATTCTTCTAGAGCAGACTCTACTAGTGTAGACTTGACTGGTGTAGACTCTATTAGAGTTCACTCTACTTATAGAGCATACTTTAATAAAGTAAAGTTTTAGTAAATTGCTTCAATGAAAGTCTCATATATATTTGAATATGCTTTACAACTTCTAGTTGCTTGCTCTACCGAGAATCTTTTGACTGGCTTTCACGCACTGTTAGCTCTGGCTGGCACCGAAATGGGACCAGCTGGCTAGCCGCATTCAGGATTTTAAGTTTCATGATTTTCAGGTTTCTCCCTTTTATTTCGGTTAGTCTCTGCTGGAGCAAACCAATTAGGCAGCCTAGCGGATACGAGGCCAACAGCAATGGCTTTCGTTTTTCTTGACCATTTTCGTTTGTTTTTATTCTATTTTGTTGTTTTTTTTTTTTTTTTAGTTCTGCCGAGGGTCGCTGTTGCTTTAAACCAAGTGCGCTTATTGGCTCAGTTGGCGACGAGCGCAATTCCACTCTTTCCGTCTAGTTGGCTGTCTAACTGTCTGTCAATCCCTATGTCTGTCTATCTGTCTGTCTGTCTGCCAGCCTGTTGGTTTTCATCCATCTCAATTTACTGCGTAAGGCTTTTGTCAACGCCAAGAAAATTGCTGTCAAAAATTGCAATCCCAAAAGAGGGACAAACAAACAAACAGACAAAAAAGAGGAAGCACAAGCCGTCTCGTCTGGCTAGCAATGGGCCAAAACTAACTGGTAAACGTAATGGGCAACTGGCACGGTAAGCGGCCCTGGAGCCGGCGCTATAACTGTAACTGCTGTTGACCCAATATTTTGAACACAAGAAATCTGAGCTTCACTTGACTAAACGAATAACAAATACTCTGTGAGGCATAGCTTAAAAGTACTTACATATACATATATGCCAAGTCAAAACAATTTATGCACCGCACATATTTCGCTTAATGAAATGTAAAATACAGGTTAGACTCGTCGCTCTGATCAAGAATATATATGTATTTATTATGGGGTCTGCCACGCCTCCTTCCTTTGATCATAATCATTAAATGCTGGTTTCTCCCATTTTCAATGGATTCAGGCTAGAAAAACTTCGTTATCGAAAAAAAAAAAAAATAATTATCGATCTGTATTACAGTTACAGCTATGTGATCTATCGGTTTGTCTATCGATTTCGAAGATAAGCATCTTATTTACCCATTCCATTCCAACTCATCAATATGTTACATGTTGCTCACTAAGAGATTTCCTGTGTGTTACATATTGCCTAATAAAACTGATATGCCCTGTTGCTGGACTGCTGGCATACAGCGTGTGAGCAATGCTTAAATGCTTTTGGTGCGCAGCTGCGCTTGTGCGTTGTGTGTCTCAGGACGGGTCGCACTTTTGTTGATAACCAGCCAACGATGCCCAATGCAATGCCATGTTTGGCTGCCAGTCTGTCGTTGTGTGCGTGCGCAAACATAAACAACAGTTATGCTTGAACAACGGCCAAAGTTGCATTTCCGCTGTAACCGTTTTCCGCACGGAAATGCGTTCGACGCGTGTTTGAAATATTGGCCAAAGTCTCTGCGGCCATGCGGCCGTGTAGCTCTGCGGTTGCCGCCTCCATTTGTGTCTGTCTGATTGTCTGTCTGCCTGTCTGACTGTGTGTGTGTGTGTGTGTGTGTGTGTGCATCTGTCTGTGTATTGTTTTGCCAGCTTCAACTACGAGCGGCTGCTGTGCGCGTAATCATTTCAGCGGCAAACGCCAAACGCCACGCCCCAGCCGCTGCTCCGCCCCGTTGACATCCGTTCATTTCAGCTTATTTGAGCGAACGCTGCCTGGCCACACTTTTATTTAACTTTTTATGCTCGCGCATGCAGCAAAGCGAGTATATTGGCCTTGATGAATGTTCGTAGGCGACCTGACATGACTGCCTTGACTCATCTGATAAAGTGAGTGAGAGCATGTGTTAAAGCTGTTTTTACTTTAGATTATTATGAAGGGGTGTATAAAGGATTATATGGGAGAGAGTACGCCTTTAGCAAATAGGAGACTAAAATATATTTTTTATATCAATCAATCAATTAATCAATCTTTGTTGATCTTCTCTTTTTAGATAGTTGTAGATAGATAGATGATATTTACTTCTTTCATTCTATTTTTATATGGTGAAATTTTCGGCAGTCGTTTCTGCTCTTCAATCGCCGTTTGATATTCTCTGCATATAGATCAATGTCTTATATATATATGCTTCTTACATTGGGTCATAACGTATCTGATTTCTATGTTTAAAAAATGTTCGGCAGCGAGAACGAGTATTAGACAGTCAGTTTAGCCCCTCAGCAATTTTTCTTACTTCGTTGTGTTGAAACTGTTGCGTTGAACTTTGGAGCAAACAGCAATTAAAGATCGCAACTTTGTTGTTTTTGTTGCTGTTTTGTTTTGTATTGTAGTTGCTGCTGCGGCTGCGGCTGCTGCTGCTGTGGCTGTGGCTGTTGTAGCCACTGCTGCTGCTGCTGCTGCTGCTGTTGTGGCGCATGCATTTTCAAAGTTTTTGATTCATTTCGATTCGCAGTGCATTCGCTTGGCCACTCGTAGCAAACAGCGTACGTTGCTATATGAGCACGTTCATCCATAAATATATATATTTGACACTATAGATATTTTTATTTCCCTGTTGGAATATATGTTGCCTGTCGGTGTGAGCATTAAGCAAGAATTTGTATACAAAATTTGCCTGAATATGTCGGTAGATGATCATAAGGTGAGTTATGAGTTATGAAAGGATTTTCAAGGGAACATCGTAGCCAGCGCTTGGCTTTGGTTGATGAAACCTTGGGGACTCGAGAACAAGTTAGAGGATATTTTGGGGTACTATTTTGGCTTAAACAGGCTGAAATGTACGTCGAGCTTTGTTCATATTTGGATCATATGAATAATAATATTAATTTACCGTTGCCATTATTTCAATTCTATATGTTTCATATTTATTGAAATGAATGTGAGCTTCTTTGCATTTCAGTTTATTAATGTCAAAGCTGTTGTCAGCGTTCCAATTCCACATGTTTCATATAAAATGAAATTCGTGTGCCGTTTTTTGAATGCCATTTTCATTTAATTCAATACATATTGAACTTTATGCTTTTGTTTCAATTCCATATGTTCCATATTTATTTGCCCTTGAATCAATTCCATGCGCTTCATATTTATTGACACTCACATGCTCCTGCTGTAATGCCATATGCTCTGAATTCAATCAACTTCAGGGGTGCCTGTTTCAATTCCATTTGTTTCAATTATTCAGTCGTTTGCCTTTGCCAAAGTATTTTTTGTTTTATTTGCATAGCTTTCACTTTCAATTTTGTTCATGCTCCACTCTTTCATCCACTCATTCCATCGTTTGTTTGTTTTATTTTTTTTACCATTTCATTCCATTTAATTTACTGCAGCTGCATTTCAATTCGAT